GGAGGAAGGAATACCAGGTTAAACACACTCCTAGCTGCAGTTTATTCCAGATCCATGGCGAGAAGAGCTCAGCAGAAAGGGACTTTGTGTGTCTCCAAATTGCTTCCCATTAGGGCGGGAAAATGCTGCCGGTCTGCGCTCTGCATTAGTGGTATCGAGGCTGCTCCGTGTTCCGGAGATTGAGAGATACGGCTTTGAAAGGGTCTGATTCATCCAGCCATTGTTCAGGACGACTGGCGGGTCAACCCTGGTGGTAGCTTCTGATAGTGATCGACAACTAATTATAATGGAGACCCGGTTTTATGTTAGGGCTTTGCAGAGTCGTGAGGAGCCCTGGGCATCATGTGTGCTCGCTCTTACTCTGCTCTCCTGTCCTCTATGTTGACTTGTGGTAATCCAGCATGGAGACCTTAGTACAGGTCACAGAGTTATGCTGGTGGGAGGCTTTTCCTAAATGCACCTTGGTTTTTATAGTGTTTGTGGCTTTTTTTTTTTTCTTTCCAGAGGTGGCTTTTTTATAAATTCTTCAGATTTCACTCTGTAGTAACACTTACGAGTATGGTGCAGAGAAAGGGTACGATGGCCTGTTCTCCACAGAGCTTGTGTTCTGCCTTAGCCTGGACAGCCATCAGAGAGCATCTGTCTGTGTATGTTTCTTGAAGCCTGCTGGACCAGAGCTTAGTCACTGGCATTACCAGCTAACACTGATGTGGCCCCTGGGCAAATAGCCTTATTTACTTGTTTAAGAAACACCTATATTGCACTTAACTGCTTACCTGGCACAGTGCTCAGCCAATGTTAAACACACTTAATTTGCACGCCAACTTTGTGCGTGGCTGTTGTCATCATGTCCACAGGTAAGAAGAAAGAATGAATCAGATTCCCAAGGGAAGTTGAGAAGCCAGAGTTCCAAGCCAGTGAGTGCAGCCTTGGGTTCTCATTTTGTCCCTGACCCCTTCTGGGCCACCTTTCACCTGTGTTTGAACTTTGAATTTGTATGATGGAGACATTCATAGCTCGGCTGCCTTGAGACGGGATTGCCGTGAGAGCCATTGGCCCAGGAGCCCTGTTGAGTAAGAGGAGTACCGAAAAACTACACGAGGAGCTGGAAGCTGCTGGATCACTAGGGAAGCCGGCCCGTGGGACTGGATGAGATAGCAGGTCCTGACCAAAGTCTCCGAATTTGGTTCTGCCCATGGTGAGAATCTAGAAGTTGGGTAACTTTCATTACAAACTCCAGGGCTGGTAGAGCTGAGGAGCAGGAAGGTGGACTAGCTTGGCACCAGATGACTGTATTGTTGAGTTGGACACATCTGGAGTAGTCAGTCCAGCATTCAGACTGAGCAGCCAGAGGCTGTGGAGCTCCTTGCAAAGGCCTGGCCAGCCAGCAGCCACTTCCGGCCCTGCAGATTCCTGATTAACTTTCCATATTGTCTTTTTGTTCGTTCTCTTTAGAAATTCGCTCCCACACCTTCCTTCCATTGGATTTCTAGAAATACCCCGCTTTTCATGACTCACTGATTGAACATATCCTGTTTGGGGAAGCGTACAGAGGAATTTCAGAGCGGGCATGCTGACTGCCAGTGATAAGTGGTGCAGGCAGGAGCCTAAGAGACGGCTCTCCCGGCCTCCTCCAGGGCCCCAGACAAGTGGTGCACCTTCAGGAGCAGTCTTTTACTTTCAGCTGATATATCCATGGCAATTTCCCTCTTCCGTTACAGTAGGGATCCACGTGTGGCTATAGTGACTAATGGTCGACTCAATCAAATTAGAGTCGGGGCCTGGAGTTTGAACCTGGCTGGGTGGGATGACCTTTTGAACCACACAGCTGGCCTGCTTTCTTGGTGCCAGGATCATATCATGGAGCAGGGAGGGGCTGTGTTCCTGGGGACAGAGTTGCTGTGAGAGCCTCACGTGTGAGAGGAGGCAAAGGAGGCCCCGCAGCTGTGGCAGTAGTGCATACGGAGCACAGAAAGAATGCCAGTTAGTCTTGTCTTTGGATGCTTTGATTTTGCTCATGGCTTGTTGTTACTTCGAAAACTGGTCGCCAAGACTGGGTGTGTAATTTGTGCCAAAGCAATTCTCTTTTGTATAGCCAGAGGCCCTTGGCAGGCTGATAGGAAGCTCCTATGCTGGGGCAGGGAGCTCAAAGTAAAGGAACAGGAAGAAAAAAGCTGGGGCAGGCTCAGGCATGGGGGAGGCCATGATGTATTGAAGACACGGGGTGAGAACTTTCTGAGTGTTGAGATGTCGGTCTTGCTGAGTGGCAGTGTAGCTAAATAGGCTGTTAGGATGGCACTGAAGAGGCAGTTGGCCATTTTTGTCAGGGGCTTTGAATCCATTGGTGCCACAGAGAGGTATCTGTAGAAAATGGTTGAAAGTCAAGCTGCTGGAGCCTCCCCATAAATGGTGAAGGGGTTAGCACTAGGCAAGAGCATTGCTGCTTAACCTGGGCAGCTGCGGTTTAGAGGGACTCGTGGCAAGGTCTGGAAACATGTTTGAGGGCCATGACCTAGGGTGAAGGATGCTTCTGGCATCTAGTGGGTGAAGCCAAGGATGTTGCCAAATGTCCTGCAGGGCATGAGCATGCCTTGGCCACAAAGAACCTCTCAGTGGCATTAATTCTGAGGTCCAACGACTCTGATCTGGGAAGTTTGGAGGGTGGGCTATGTTTTAAAGGGTGTCTTCTGCACCCAAACTTCACATGGGTCCTAGATCCTTGGAGAAGAGAGGAGAGGGTCTTAGTGGGTCTGAGTGTGTGTGTGTGTGTGTGTGTGTGTGTGTGTGTGTGTGTGTGTGTGTGTCTTATACATTCATGTGTGTTTGAATATGTGCTGTATGCATGTTTATGTGTTGGGCATGCACATGTGTGGAGGCCAGAGGCTGCTGTTAGGTGTCTTCCTTGATTGCTTCCTAATATATACTTGTATATCTATATTAAAACTTGTATATAATTATTTTATCTTGTTTTATTTTTGAGACAGAGTCTCTTTCTCAGTGACCTGGGGTTCGCTGATTGGTGAGACTAGCTGACTGGCAAGCTCCAGAGATTCACCTGTCCCTTCCTTCCCCACAGTAGTTACGGGTGTACGCCACCACAACTGGCATTTGGTGTGGGTGCTGGGGATCCAAACTCAGGTCTCCTGCTTTAGTGGGAAGTTCTTCACCAACTGAACATCTCTCCTAATTTTATAAGCTGTGAAGTGTGTAGGTGATTAAGTGCCACGGGGCAAAGACCATGGCTTCAGGCTACTTGGTGACATTAAGTCTGTGGAGACCTTCAGGGGTTTGGGTTAAAATGCTGCTTCTCTCAGACTCCTCACACAGCTCTACTCTTCTTCTTATTTTTATTTACGTGTGTGTGTGTGGTGTGTGTGTGTGT